TATTGTAAAAATCACTCTACAAATAAATTGTACTGAACTGCATGGAAACTGGATGGATGGTGACTTTTACCTTGGCAAAATCTGGGGGTGGGTTTTTCCCCCTGCACAGGTTAGACAGAGCCCAAACTGCATTCCTCATCATAGTCAGACGGTTTTGTTTAGCCAACAACCTGAGAATGAGAATTTGCATCATTAGAATAACTACTCAACAGTACAGTTGTTCTAAAACAAATGGTTGCATGACTTACTGTACTAAAGAGGGTAGAATATTGCAGTCCAGAACATAGTCCCTGCACTCAGTGCTGTCACCTGCAATATTGCCTAAAGCCCACACTGCCTGCAGTGCAAAAAGACCGTTTCAATCACAAAGTTAGTCCTATTTTTTTTATACCTATCTGGGTCCATTTGTGCCCCTTCAGCAAGCTGCTCACCTGTTCCTGTACATCCTCGAAATCCGAGCCGAGCATCTCAATGAAAATGGGCACCGCCCCAGCCTGGATGACCACGCGTGTCTGGTGGGATGTTCCTGAGGCGATGTTAGTCAGAACCCACGCTGCTTCAAACTGCACAGAGACAGGACGGCTGTCACCATACTGCAGAAAAGCATTCACTAATGCACCATTCAAGAGCCAAGAGGATTAAATAAAGATAGCGAGGAGACTTGCAGAATATACACATTCCAATAGTGTGAGCATGTGCTGGGAGAGATCCATGCCGGATGACTCACTGTCTCACTGCTCTGACTTACGGGATATGTCTGCAGGCTGTTCTTCTGCTTCTAGGCTGTATGGTTCATTTTAATATCACTTAGATACAGCATGCTCGGCTCACCTGTAGCGTGCAGTTCTCTCTTCTTTTCAGGAACTCAACAAATCGCTCCACGACACCAGGGGTGGCAATAACCTCATCAATAGGGGGATTAGGCTCTAATGGAGAGTTAAAGATGGAATTAGCATCATTTTATCATAAATATGATTATGCAAATGCACGAATTTCAGTCTTCAGGGTCTTTCACCTTTAGATAAGAGCTTTCTGAAGCGCTGTGTTCCTATGAGCTGTTGTTCTGGGGAACTGGAGAAGATCATCTGTATCATGTCCTCAGAAATAGCACTTCCCTTTGATGTTGGAAAGACAGAAATGGTAATAATCTATTATAGATTTTTTCATTGATAAGTAAAACACTGTGATTAACTATTATCTTTCTCACCGTGATTTGGTCCATATTGTTGGCCTGTGATTCCAGGTATCCACTGTCCAACATCCCATCATCCTCCAGTGTTCCATCCTCCTCCACTGTGGCCACATTTCTGCGCTTGAACAGCTGTAAGAACACAAACTCTCAGCTCACTGTGCTCAATAAAAATACCAACACATGCCAAATATCAGTACTAATGTTGCATTTCTTTCCTTTGAAGGAGCAAGCGAGCTACGGTTTTATTATTGTTAAAATATTTTCTCCTGTAGAATAAACTAAAAGTAAGGTATTTGTAGGCTGATTCTCTCAAACACTGTAAATACTGTGATTTTAATAAGACGTTATTGTTTGTTTGAGTATTTGAGTGTATATATTATATATATATATGTAGTAGTAGTAGTAGCCCTTTATTGTCACTGGTCAGTACCAGCGAAATTGCGAAATGTGTGTGTGTGTGTGTGTATGTGTATGTATACTATATATATATATATATATATATACGTGTACATAAACAAAAAAACAACAACATCAGAGTACAATAACAAGATACAAAGCAAAGATCCACAAAGCCACTCTTATATCTCCAATTCTCCTACTTGTTCATCTTTCTTTTGTTTGCGAAGTTGGAGGCCCTCTTCCTCCCTCCTCCTCCTCATCTCATCTGTGTTGAGCGATTTGTTTTTATAGCTTTTGAGACGTGCATTGTCCTTCCCCTGACTCATGATGTTGCCTGCTGGAAAGACATGATCAAAGCAAGATGAGCACAAGAGAAATCACCAAGACTCATTAAAATAGTTGCGTGATCTCAGCTAGATGACAGGCTTTGAGAGATCATTTAATGTCACTTGTTTCTATCGGCAGTGGACACATACACCAATCAATCATAATGCCAGATATACATGCACATCCATCGTTTGTGACATAACTAATCTGACAGCAGCAAAAATACACAATACTAATGCAGTCAGAGCTGTAACCTACTCAAATGACCTTGTCAGTCACTTAAATGCTGAGTTAAACTAGAAAACAGAATTATATGTTGAGGTTTTGTGTCAATATTTTTTAGCCAGAGCTTGGATACTTTCAATCACTTGCAAATAAAATCAGTCGAGATCAAGAAGATAAAGACCCCATTATGAAACGGAAGTAGCAATAGGTTTTTTCTTCTATATTGTGACATGTATCAGACTGTAACAGATTCAGAAATCAGAAAATAAAAAAAAGAGTAGGCTGGTGACTGGATGGTTCTATCCATCGGTTGTTGATTTGATTTTGAGATGTGGGCATTGCACTAAAACGTGGAGGCAGATGAACATTGCAGAGGTGGTGTACATCACCAGAGAGAAGTCTGTAGTTTTCACCCAAATGTCTGTCTGTAATATGCTTTTAAAAATCAGATAAGGTTAATATTCATTTCATGCCACGTTTAGGGATTTTGGCCTATTTTGCTTCCATAACACTTTTTCATACTAGTGGAAAGAAAACAGGCAAAATAAATAGTGTTTCTTTTTAATAACACTTTATCTATTTGCATTTGTAGATTTCAATTTCTTTATAAGGCTGTTTTCTCAAAATGAGTTTTTTTTTCTCATGCATCTCCACTTCAGTAGAACTTAAACCAAACTTTCCAATTTTATTCCTTTCTATATTATGATGGTTTTTACAGAGGGGTTTGTCCATATATCATTCACTTGATTTATATCAAATTTAATTCCTAAAAAACAAAATCAAATTGTATTCATTTTTGTCCACCGGGTGCATTATTTTTCTATTTATTGAGTGATAAAATAATTCAAAATTGTAAAAACCTTTATTTGTCAATTTGTTTGACCAAATATGTCGTCAAAATGAAACAAAAAAAATCTGGTTTTATCTAATGTTCAGATTGCTGTTCTGGAAACGTATTCAAATTAGTGTATATTTAATTAGCCATGGCCACATATGCATATTTAAGCATAATATTTCAGAAATGCAAAGTCGTTGTTTTAATGTACTGTGATTAACCAACTGGGAAGGTACAGTGACATCTATTAGTTACAATTGTACTCTATTCACCTGTGGTGTTTTGCCTTAAATGACTAAAAAGAAAATTAAGATATTAGCAAGAAACGGAGCCAGACTGGATCTGTCTTTAACCCGCTTCTCATGGGCAGTGGCGCTTGAGCCCGCAGTGAAGGGGAGCGACCCATCCAACCATCTCCACCTAAAAACACCCCGCCAAACACACCAATCCAACCGTACATAGCGCCTGTGAAGCGGAGACGATCGATTCAAGTCAATAAAATGTAATTTTAGCTCCTCACATGGTCGTGATCATCGACTGAAGCGCAGGTTTGTTGGTAATATCGTCTTAACGCCAGACTAGCCTCCCCCTCCCAGATCTGCGCAGAAGCCTCTGTTAGCTCCCCTGCTAACCCACACGACAAGGTTGTCCGACTGCTGGCTTGAATTTATGTTTTAACATTTTTATCTTTTGAATTTAACATCATATTGATGGAATAAAACCACTCAAACACAAATAATCCACAGTGGCGCACTGACCTGTCAAAACTGTCTCGTTTATCCCTGCGTCGTTTAAGCTGCTACCGTTTTGCCTCCGCCGGTATAGTGAAACTGCGCATGCGCACTGGGAGAGGACATCGTGTGCGAAGCGCATGTCTGGTTCTCGGTGTTGCCAATTTTGTGTAACGAACCGTGTTGCCATGTCCACTTCTTATAATAAACCCAGTCGTTTTTTTGTTTGTTTGTTTTTATAAAGGAGCTTATAAATATGGATTATAATCGCGGGGTGGAGAGATGTTTTGAGTTTATGTAGGTCAACGAAACGTATTTCGGCTTGCTAGTGCTTTATGACCTCTGTATCAAATAAATAAAGTTTAACTGAATAGCCTACTGATCGCAATTGTCACATATGCTCAGTGTATAGCCTAAGTTATGCACTATACATTATACAATTATTATTATTCGATTCGATTCGATTATTCGGTTTCTTTTTCTTTAGTCCCCTGCTCAAATTATGCATACATGCACGAATGAAAGAGAGATTATTTACAGAGAGAGAGACGTGTGCGTGTACACATACACACACACATTACTATGGTTGACTATGGTCTTATTTATTTATTTATTTTCCGAGCAGGTGTTTTGCCAGCAAGATCTGGCAACACTTAGTAACGAGGTTTATAGTCTTCTTCGCTGCACTGTATCATATGTTGAATGTTTCTCTTTTTACACTACAAAGATTTTATATAAATCTAATAGTTTAAACAAAACTATATTTAAAGGAAGTATTCTTTAACATATATTAAATATTTAGTATAATACAGACCATGTATATAACCATGTAAAATTGTTTTTTTTATATATCACACATTTTTGGAAAACTAACAGTCATCAATAATAGGGATCTGGCAACCTGAATAAGATAACGCGATGCGCAACACTGCTATTGTTGTTTTATCTCATGAATCCCTTAACGCTGTACATCGTAGACATCACATCAGATATAGGCCTATTTAATTACAAGGCAAAACGTACCCTCATATCGTCTCATCCTTCCTGAAAATATCCTCCAGGTGTCCTTTACATGTCGCTAGAGGGCAGCAGATAATCTGTTCTTGTCTTCACCCGTCAAAGCAGGTAACAGACAGACCGACTTTTCATTTGCACTGTCATTGTGGCTGCACCAGTGATGGTATCTCTTCAGGTTTTACGTCGTTTGTGCGTGTTTGCTCTCAATAAACCGGTTATCTGAGCATGTGGACTGAAGACTTCAACCGTCAATCACAGTGACGGACAACCTGATCCAGGTAGAGCTGCTGGTGGAAGAGGCACTTACATCCTCTCAAAATAAGTGGATTTAATTGATCATCTTTTGCAAGACATTATAACTTTTAGAGGCCGTATTTCAGTGAAGTCTGCAATGTCAGGTAAAGGGTGATTTATTACAGGAACTTTAGATTTTGTGTTCCAATTCCCAGTTAGCTCTACTTAATTAACCACCATATTCACGAAAAACACACATCTCAGGTATAAAGGGCCATTTATTAGGCTATATAGGAACTCTGGACTTTGGTCCAGTTGCCAATTATCTCTACTTGATAATTAACCATGATATTCATGAATAACACGTGTCAAATTATGCACTCTTTTAAGTGAATGAATGTATTTATGTATTTATTATGTTTTTAAAGCAGTCAATAATTATTTATTGACTGCTTTGTGCTTTAAAGTGTGGTCAGTTGTACTGACTAAACCACTTAGCAATAGTTTTGTTCTGTTTTTGTTTCTGCTTATTATAGCAAAACAATTGTTTGACTTGTCTTTTGTATCCCACTAACCAAACCCACAGCCTTTATGTGCCTACTAACCATGAATAGCAGGATTTTTTAGCAAAATGCTGTTTTTATGTTGCATGATTTTTACTGGCATTAATTAATGAACATTAATTGCCAATAATAGAATCTCAACTCTATATGAACTCATTTTGATTGATTTTCACATTTTCAGTGTCAGTTGTGACATACGAACAGCTCAAAGCTATGCTGGCCAATCACAGCGTGCAGCTTTTTGATGTCAGGAATCCAGATGAATTCCAGGCTGGCCGGATTCCTGATTCTGTCAACATTCCTTGTAAGTCACTACTGAAGTGAAGAATCAGTGGGTCTTGTTTCAGTATGCACATTCACTCTCAGTTTTTTATGTATCTCTCAGTGGGACAGCTTGAGGAGTCACTGAAACTCCCACCACTCCAGTTTCAACAGCAATTTGGGGTGAAAGCCCCTAAAAAGGAAGACGATGACATAGTTTTCCATTGCCGAAGCGGGAAAAGGAGTTTGACTGCTCTTGAAATCGCTCATCGTCTGGGATTCTCTAAGTAGGCTATTGAAAACATACACACTGATCTCATTATAAGCCCAGAACTCATAACATGTGGATGATCCAATTAATTAAATATTCCTTGTTGTTAGAGGACCTACTTGTTTTCTTTGTCTTTTCAGGGCACGGCATTATGCAGGCGGATACATTGATTGGGAAGAGCGTGAGAAGAAGTAACAGGACTAATTGAGCCACATTTTCAATCACTTTAACTGGACCTTTAATCTGGAAATAGAAGATAAAATTAAATATTGACAGGTGAAATTGCTCATTTTGCTGTTTACAAAGATCTGAGTCATTATTAATATAGTTTAATGACTCATCAATTATTATATGATATGAATCATATTTCATTAAGATGTGATTGTTAATTAATTAGTGTATTAGAATCATTATTGATGTAGTTTGATGACTCATCAATTATTGTTATATGATATATTTTAATAAGGCGATTATCAGAAAATACATGAAGCAGCTATTTCAGATAAATACTTGAAAAAATTGCTCCTTCACAGTGAACCAGACGGATCAAACTATTTCTGGACTGTAAAAACAAATGTGAATATATATATTTACAAATCTGCTTTATTAAAATATTTTTAAAAGGCTTTCGACATTGCTTGATTCGTCACTGGACCATTTTGTTTGGAATTTGGAAATTTTGACAGATGAAACTGACTATTGTTTTTATATTTTGCTATTTACAACTATGTAAATCTGAATGACTTAGTGTATTAGAGTTGCTTAAAATAGAATAATAACACATCAATTATTATTATTATATTAATTATATTTAATTGATCAGAAAACGGATGGAGCAAACCTATTTCAGATAAAGACGTGAAAAATTGCTCCTTCAGATTGAATCAAACGACTCAAACTATTGGACTGCAAAAATGTGATTATATATGCATATTTACAAATGTGCTTGATTAAAATAATTTAAAAATAATCAGTGCAAATTGATTTGGACCACCTGGAAATAGGTAAATAAAATTAAATGTTGACAGTTAAAACTGACAATATTTTCATATTTTGCCACTTGCAAAGATGTGAATCTGAAAGACTTAGTGTATTAGAGTCATTTTTAATATTGTTTTAATGACTCATCCATATTAATCATAATATAATCTATTTCAGATAAATGCTTCAAATAACTGTTCCTTCATATTAAATCAGATAAATAAAATAATTTTAAAAAAGCACTGAGCTATAAAAACTAATGTGAATATGTGTTCACAAATGTGCTTCATTAAAATATTTTCACAAAGGCTCTGGACAGTGAATAATTCGTCTGTGCAAATTTAGTTTGTCCTTCTGCATTGCGTTATTACCACTGGGTGGCAGTAATGCAATTAGGCAAAATAAAGGAGCGTTTTATGACCAGCAAGCAGCGATTCACGGTCACAGGTGCTCGGGTGCTCATTTCACTGCAGGCTGTTTGGATGTGGTCGGCTGCATCTTAGTAAATAGCTGTCAGACTGATACTGAACACAGATCAAGGCTGGCACATTTTTCATTGGACTCCAATCAAATCAACAGACCTTCCTTCATCCATCTTGGAGAGAATTATTGAAGTGTCAATTTATATAGCGCTGTTATTGTGGAATTACAGACAGAGTAGGCTGTATAGTCCATCAGATGTAAGCAATAGCTTTGCAGGTATTGGATTTGGCACACGCTAGCTGTCTCGTCTTGAGCCTGGGCCTTGTTCTTCCCTGAGTGATGAGAACAGACTATGATAAATGTGAACGTGTCACTTTCACCCCAGCCATAATGGGGTCCACACCTCTGAGCTGGTTTGTAAAATAAAAAATCCAAAACTAATTTCTTTGTTTGCCACAGGGGGCCTAAATAGGCCCGGGTGTTTATTTGTGGCTATTTTTTTTCTCCATATTCCACATTTATATTTCACTTTATTGTCCCTCATTTGTTCTTGTTTCTGATTTTCTGACCTCATATCTCACCAGTATGAGAGAGACCGGGGCAAGTTGTCACAAGGCAATGTATCTCAAAAATCCAATTACACAAATGAGTTTTCTCTTGCAGTGGATTTGTATGTTGGAAAAACTGGAAAGTTGAAAAACTTTGAAAAAAACATTAGTTAACATAAATTTAGATTGAAAAAAGCATCTTCATATTAATTTCATAATTTACTACATTAGTAAAATCAAAAGTTGTATCTGTTGTCATTATTTAATTGACTTTAATAAACTAACAATTAACTAACATTAACATAGGATAGCCTAAAGAAATACTGTAACAAATGAATTGCTCATTGATAGCTCATTTTAGTTAATGCACCAACTAATGATAACCAATGGGACTATTAACAAAAAACAATCTGTTAGTCAACTAAGAAATTTAATTAAGAGTTGAATAATATCCTTGTTCATGTATATTTGTCAAAAATGTCAGGTAGGGGCAAGTTGTCACATTTTATATCAAAGTTATATCAAATAATGGTTTTATATTTTATCCATTAACATTTTACTGTTATTTGTTCAATTATATTATTTCTGTCCTTCTATACAGTTTATTTTGTATATTATTTGTCATTTTGTATATAGACAGGTTAATTGCAGGTTCCATTGTGACAAATAACTTTATTTTGAGATTAATACATTTTAATTTATGTTTATTATAGCTATTATGTATTTCTCTGACCTACTAATAGACAGGTTAATGGCAGCTTCTATTGTGACAAATTACCGCATATTGGATGACAACATGCCCTGCTACTGGGGCAGCCTGTGTTCAATGAACAGTATCATTTTTCCTGGGCAATAACGGTGGAAATGTTTATTAGCCAAGACACTTTAAAAGTGTCCCTTTAAAGAAACTGGCTTTTTTAATAAATAAAGAAATATGACCATAGTAAAAGGCGTGACAACTAGCCCCGGTCCAGTACCCCCAATATTACGCATTTCATTCTAAATAAGACATGCATTTTAACGTGCTATTATCAGGTCAACTTGTTGTAGCTATTGTGCTGTTAATAGGTCCGCTGGGTCTGTCACAGGTAACAGCTATTTTCAGACAGTCGTTGGTGATCACAGCCTGAGCGTGAACAAACGTCTGCGGAACGCGAATACCTTTAGAGCCATGACATGATTTACATTTGGGCTTTTTGATATGTTATTTTATTATATCACCTACTTGGATTTACCTCGATATATATTTGATCTACCATCAAGCACTGAACTAATGAGAACAAAGATGCGTCGTGCGTAAAAGACCTCTTGGAGACGGGAGTGAAGCTCGTCTCACGACTGTAACCACCCGAGCGAATCAAGCTCTGTGCGAAACCATTTGTATACTGGCTGCACGGAGTTATTCAATGCACAAAGGCATCGTGTGGAAGTTTTTTTTGGAGCTGTGCATTAGTAAATTTCACATACGCTGTGCTCGCCCCGCGCGGTGAGGATGGAGCCCCTTTCTCAGCACCAACGACTCGCGCCACGAGCGACAGGACCGATAACTTTCATCTCAGAGAAAGTGCGTTCAGATGTGGTTATGTCTCGGTTCTACGCTGGAGAAGCTTAACAGGTAGACACATTGTAAACTGTGTAATCTGCTGCTTGGATGACGCACAGAATGATAATCGATGCAATCCAGAAAACACTGGTTAAATGCATAAATTCACACTGGCTTTTAGGGCGCATTTGTGCAGATTATCAATGGGTGACTTTATATCAGCACTGGGAAATAAAAATTGCAACTTTTTGATCTGCAATGCATCTTAGAACATCAGTTATCATCCATCTTAAAGATTTTTGTTATTTAGTTAAACTTTGAGATTAATGAATTATACTTTGTTTATCGGAGCTGTATGCATCTGACATTATTAAAATATGTTTTTTTTTTACTTGAATCAATGTGTGCATTACTAGCCTTAATGTATCTATTTATTAATTTATTATAAACCAAATGTAAAGGGTTGCATAAAATGCACTGGAGGAGACAGGTGTACATCACGTATTCTGATGTGACAAATCAAGCATGGATCACCAAACGGCAAAATAGATTTTATGATACCTTATTTTTTTATTGCTGAATAGAATTTTCAAAGATATAAAAGCTGCACTGTGAATCAGAAAGGTTGTCAACTGAAGTCACCGAACACTTGTCATATCTCTAGCAGTCAAGTGTTTTACGAGTCTCTTTGCAGAATATAAAATCCAGGGACGTCTGCATATAAACAAGGTTTCAGACACACTAGAAATGTTACAGTATATGGTTGTCAAAACTTCTGTCCCTTGATGTTTGTGTTTTGATCCCCACAGTCAAAAACTCTTCTCTCTCCCCAGATCTTCTTCACTCATGGCAATGTTTAGCAGCAGTGAATGGCAGTGGAATGACTCAGAACATTCTCTCACTCCTGAGGGAAACTACAGCCTGATATCAGGCTTTGAAGAAGTGAAGAGGAATTACTATGCCATGTTCTATTCCATACTCATCCTGGCTATTGTGTTTGGGAACGTTCTGGTGTGTATTGCTGTGCTTAGAGAGAAAGCTCTCCAGACCACCACCAATTACCTGGTGGTCAGCTTGGCCGTGGCTGATCTCTTGGTTGCCTCACTGGTCATGCCCTGGGCGGTCTATTTGGAAGTGAGTAGACAATAACCTATCGTAGCCTATAGTTCAGAGCATTTCTGTATTGACAACTATTGCTATACAAAAATAAAAGGTTCTTTATTGGCATTGACAGTTCCATGAAGAGGTTCATTAAGATACATAAAACCTTTCCAATGGATAAAAGCTTCTTTATAGTTGAAAAAGGTCTTTAGATGATTAAAATGTTCTTTGAACTTTTACTTGAGGTCTAAGTAAAAAATGATTCTTTTTTTAAAGAGTCAGTTCACCCAAAAATGAAAATTACCCCATGATTTACTTACCCTCAAGCCATAGATGTATATGACTTTCTTCTTTCAGACGAATACAATCTGAGTTATATTAAAAAACATCCTGGCTCTTCCAAGCTTTATAACGGGAGTGGACGGTAGCCCAAAATTTGAAGTCCAAAAAATTGAACCAATCCATTATAAAAGAAGTCCACACGGCTCCGGGGGGTTAATAAAGGCCTCCCGAAGCGAAGCGATGCGTTTGTGTAAGAAAAATATCCATATTTACAACTTTATAAACCTTAATCTCTAACTTCCGCTAACTGTCTTACGTGCGTTCACGAGAGAGTGGCATCCAGCGGATGATGTAGGCGTAACGTAAACTCAGGTGAGAATATGCTAGTCTCGCGAGAAACAAGTTTTGTTTACGGCAAAGGAAAACCAGTGTCCTCTTGGCTTATATTGAAATCCTCCGACATTTTTCTTTACAAATCCTCGTTTTGTACTACTAATTCGTGACCGCTGTGTTTGGGTGAATTGGAACAGTGTCTGTCTTGAACAAGCACATTTATACTTAATACACCAAAAACATACCAATTTACAAAAGTGTGTCTACAAAAAACATACAGGAACTCAAATTGGTGAATCATCCGGATTCCAAACAAACCAATTCACTAGAATGAATTGGATTTCCAGCATTATATATGAGATATGACCATTTAGGATGAGTCAACTCACTAGAATGAACCAGACTTCCAACTTTGCATATGAAACAGAGGGCTGTTTAGGATGAACTGATTCTTTAGACTGAATCAGACTTTCGGATGCTACATATGAGAGAGGAAGCGTGGACAGTTTAGATGAGTGCTTTTGATTATTCCCTCAGATTATACATTAAAAACACTGATGTAGTCATTGTCAAACCAATCAGCTTTCTGTTACTCAATGCAGCAAATTCACATGACCAATTTTACCCAACTTGTGTCTTATGGTACAGTCATATTGGTGAAATTTTGCAAAACAAAAGTCCAAGGTCTATTGTCAATAGTTTAGATATGTATAAAGCACAGCTCACAAAGAAGCCTCTTTCACACCAAGCAGCTTTCTGTTGGTCAACATGGCAAATTCGCATGACCAACTGAAACCAATACGAAATCTGTATGTGGAACGCAAAAACAACCACTTCATGTCTCGAGGGATCCACAGATTTGTGCTGTGATCAGTTAAGACTTCCAATCATTTTCTTCAATCAGTAGTTGATTACTAGACACTGACATAAGAAATGAGACTTAAATCAGCAATAATCAGTAAAAAGCAATATTAGAGAGTGCTGCAGGGATGACGTCAAAACCCAGAGATTTTCTTATGGGGCTTTATAATGGGGTTTTTCAATTTATGAAGGTCTGTGGTATACGTCGTACCAAGATGATACTTCAACATTTTGCTCTAGAATGTAAATTACACGCTAAATTTTAATTTTAAATTAAAAGCACAAATTTTGAAGCTGTTATAATTGTTTTAAAGCCATATGTTTGTAATATGTACATAAGAATGTTCAGGGTGTGAATGTCTGCCGTTAACACTGTAGAACAAAACGTTCAAGTACCATCAAGTTATGTTTACCACAGACCTTATTTTACTCATAAATTGTATATGCCCATAGGGAAATCTAGAGGGAACCTATGGCGAGTTAGTCTTCCGGGTTTTCATCCCTGCATAGACTGGAGAGCAGTCAAGTCATACTTCATTCAATGTCCTCTAAATGATCAATAATTACTTTTCACTTTGGTTAAGGATAAAATTCTTTCATCCATCAATGAAAAACTCCTGAAAAGATTTTAACATTAAATGTTTAATTAATTGGCAAATGTTACATTACATCTGGTTAGAAATCTTAAAATATTATATTGTTACATTAAAATGTAAAAATATTATATAACATGTCTCAATCAACCTGAATGCATTAAGTTACAACTACAGTACAATTTTTACTGTGTAATAATATCAAATTTCCTTCACTCTTCCCTGGTTTTGGTGGTAACGGTTAAAAACCTTAATTTAGAGACAGCCTTCCTACTCGGTTAAATTTGACTGCACGTCTCTTGAGTGGCTGCAGGAGGCATTGTGCTGCTCTTTGATTAGTGCCAGGAAAGGAGAAAAGAAGATCTTCCTGTCATGATGCACAACACCTAGCAGTCTGATTCTGCAGCATGCAGTTCATTCATCTCTGCCGGAGCCTTATTACACCTCCCTGGCCACTCGAATGGACGTTATTGTTGTAGGCCCTCTGAGAGATGGACCAAGGGTCTGTTTGCCCGTAGGGCATTCATTATTAGCAAAGCGAGTGTGGGATAAAAGGTGGGACTCTCAAAAAGAGTTCTCCCCTTCCTTACAGTGAAGAACCCATATAGGTGAGGCAGTGTGGCTAGAAATAAGTTGCTCAGTTGGACATATTTTGTCTATTGTCTTTCATTTTTTTGTGCATTTAGGCCCTTAATATGACTCTGTTGTACCTGTGCAGGTGGTTGGTGGAGCTTGGCTCTTCAGTCGCTTATATTGCAATGTTTTTGTGACCCTGGATGTGATGATGTGCACTGCAAGCATACTCAACCTGTGTGCCATCAGCATCGACAGGTAGGGAGCTAGTAATAAAAGTCTGCTTGATTTTTTGTAGTTCTTTTTTAGGAATTGATTATTCTGGGTTTACTACACACAGCCTTTATTTTTAAAGGTTCTTTGTTGGCATCCATGAAGAACCTTTAACATCCATCCACAAAAGATTCTTTATAGCGAATAAAGGTTCATTAGATTATTAAAATGTTCTTCACGCTAAAGAAAAAAAATGGTTCTTTTAAGAAGTTCACCGCAAAGTTTTTTGGGGAACCAAAAATTGTTCTTGGCATCACTGCAACAACCCCTTTTTGGAATCTTTTTCAGAATAAACTCAGTCGACTGCATTTGTGGCATGATGTTTATTGTTACCACAAAATTAATTTCCACTTGATCCTTTTCTTTAAAAAGGGGGGTTACCGTCAGACACTTAAAATGGAATTAAATGTGGCCAGTCAGTAAACAATAAAATAATCAGAGTTTCAATAGTAAAGCCACAAAACAAAACATAACAACAAATATAAAAATATGCATATTAACAAGAGTGTAAAAAAGTGTAAGCTTTTCTGTATAAAATTATCTAATTCTAAATTTTTGTTACCATAACAAAAACAAATAACTTAACAAATAACTTACAAATTATTTAAGCTCAAATAATGCACAAGTTTTAATTAATGTAATTTACAATGTAAAATTATAAGCTTCACATTTCTGCTTTTAAATCCTCCAAAAATGTTCTTGTGGTATAATCACATTAGCAAAATTTCACTAAAATCAAATAAAACAGGGTCAGTGTGGCAAATTTGCATGACCAACTGAACCCAATGCCAAATCTGCATGAGGAAATCTTTCACATTCACATGATATTCCCATTCACATGGATTCCTACTGAAATGACTGGATTTTGTCCACAAAAATTTGCGTACAACGATGTGACTGCACTTTTACTGTAACCTCAGTTTTTTGCTTCTTTTTTAATAAAACAAGGGATGAGTCGAAACTATTCAACATTACGCCAAAAATGCTGTTGAATGACCTTTACTGAACCCAAAATATTCCTTTCATATGGTATCAGCAAGTGACAGGTGCATCATTATCACCTTCATACATAGAGCTGGGAGGGGTCCTTGTTTTAATTTTGATTGCATGGCATGAGTGCGAAAACATATAGAAGTTTAATTAGTTGGAGGAGGGCAAGGGTGAGATGCTGATCATAAAGGACGAAACAGAAGGGCTGAGAGAAAACGATTCGTAGAAAAGACAAAAATGTATGAGATGGAGTGCAGGGAAATATTCAGCTGGGGGGAGAGAACAGAACATATTTAGGTTGATTATGCCTTTCAGACTGGCCTGGTTCACCTCTCTCTTTCCTCTGTGGTATTCTGTACTTATAAGAGCAGTAGATATAAAAAACGCTCACGAAAAGCTAATACAATTGCATTTGTGCATCATTCTGTTGAAAGAGTCGAGCATAATTTATCCCTCTTTGGTGTATAAAATTATTTTTCAATATCCTTCAGTGTTCATTTGTAATCAGATATTTTCTTTTTAACACTTCGTGGCAGATGCGGAAAAAAGCTTTGTAGTGAAAGCTAACTCTAAATTGAGTTTGATCCTTTTTTTTCATATCAGAACGAATGGTGGTATTCAAAAATTACTTTGCGGCGTCATTTAAAAATTTTGTTTAATCTCATAACTCATACTTTTCATGCTTCAGTGAGTGTGACCTTTTTTTAAAATCAGCATTCCCATTTCTTCTGAGATTAATTCTTGTGTCTGTGAAGGTATACGGCTGTGGTGATGCCAGTGCTATACAACACCACTCACAGCTCCCGCAAAAGGGTTTCAGTCATGATTGCGACAGTTTGGGTCCTTGCTTTTGCAGTCTCCTGCCCCCTTCTGTTTGGATTCAACACTACAGGTGAGCTTCTGTGTTTCTCTAGCTCAACTAGTGGGTTGTGACTCAAAAACGGGTCATAGGTGTTCTACAGGGGAAAATAATGCTAAATAAAATGCAAATACATGCAAATAACCATATGACCATGCATAGTTAGTATGACCAATACAATCTGCTTCCTGAACCAAAATAAGTTGAGAACCAGCACTATTGTCCACTGGTGTGAAATTGAAGTGCTGCCATTAAATCTTGTAAAAATCAAATGGGTTTGGAAATAAGAGTGATAAATTTAATCAAGAGATGTTTTAGAATCAGTATTGGGGAGTAATATATAAAAGCAGCAAGGCTTTAATAGCAGGACAGTAAATCACAGATTCACTGATTCATTTCAGACCTGGCATTGAATTCATTGTGAGGCATTTTTGTAAAAAAAATATTTGGTTCAATCCTATTGTTACAACTGTTTCAGTTTAATGCTGTTGTTTTGGGGCCAACTAAAATAAAAAGATACTAAACATGAATTACATCACCTAAAGGTGTAGCACTGTAGCTGGTATTGGGGGCGGGACATTCTCATTATTGAGAGCATTTGATTGGACAAAAATCTGCATTGTACATGAGTCATCATAGATGAGTCATCAATATTTTTGTCAATTTTTTTAGAAAAGAGAGACTATACACTTCAAATGCATAAGCTTGCGAACAGTTAATTAGTCAATGTTGTTAATGTCAACTTATAGTAGTATACTTAAATAAGATTCAAAAGATTGGAATAATTAAGATTTTTAATGTTTTTGAAAGAAGTCCTTTATGCTCACCAAGGCTGAATTTATTTGATCAAAAATACAGTGAAATAAATACAATTGGGGAAATATTATTACAATTCAAATGAACTGCTTTCTATTTGAATATATTTTCAAATGTAATTTAATTGTGTGAATGCAAAGTTTAATTTTCAGTAACTGAATTTTCTAATATGCTTTTTAAAAAATATTAAAATAGAAAACAGTTATTTCAATTATAATAATAGGTCACAATTTTACTGTTTTTATTTGATTTCTGATCAAAGAAATTCAATCTTAGTGAGCAGTGTTGAGGGAAGTTACTTTTAAAAGTAATGCATTACAATACTGCGTTACTCCCATAAGTTACTAATTACGTTACTTAAGTTACTTTTTATGTAAAGTAATGCATTATGTCACTTTTAAAATCTGGGCTGGGCTTGCTTGTTTGTTTTTAATATAAAAAAGTTATATTTTTAGCCAATGTAAAAGCCCTTTCACACCAAAAGTGAAACAAATAAGCCTCAGGCTGAAGGAAATGTAAATTAATGTCAGCAAAAAAAAAGAAACACAAATGTTTGAAAAGGTATTTTTTTGCAAATTAAAAAGTAAAGTGTTACTTTACTAGTTACTTGAAAAAAGTAATCTGATTACGTAACTTGTACTACTACTTGTACTACAAGTACTACGTTACTTGTAATGGGTTACCCCCAATACTGTTAGTGAGGATGAGACGTTTCTCAAAAATATAAAATAAATCTTCAGAGTTTGTTTTTTAATAATATCCATTGACCAAAAACCAATAAACACAAATTTCAGTTTTTAAGCTTTAATGAAGTTAACAACTTGTCTTTAGAAGTTTGTAGTATATCTAACTATCTATCAAAAGCGTAGCTTGACTGTAAATCAACTACTTTACATGATGTATAGTTTGATAATCTACAAGTAGCTTCCTCAACCATGTAGTTTCAAAATACAATAAAGCACTAGAGTGTTTATCTTGAAGGCTAATTTTATAGCTATAGCTTTCAGTGAGCTTCTATCAGATGTCGATAAATTCGTTTGCGAAGAAATTAACCATCCATTTAATTAGAGTAATCAGTTAATTAGTTTCACGGTGAGATATAATGAATGTCATCTCTCTCTCACACACACACAAGCCTCCTAGATATGCATGCGATTTGTTCTGCTTTGGCTGCATGTACTGCAGATGGGAGAGAAGGACTTTGAGGCTCTAATTATGCTGCCGCAGAAACAGTTTTATACATCGCAGATTACTGCTGATAAGAGTATTGATTATACTTCCAACACAGCTGGTATCATTACATACATCCACACTGACTTATTACCTCATATCTGTGATCTTAATTACTTTATGTTAGACAATGGAATATTTTACTGGTGTTATTACAGCAAACAAAAGAATCACAACACCGGCAAAATGTATTAAGTATGACAAATATGTTGTGTGTTTGTTTTTGCAGATGACCCTACAGTGTGCTCGATTTCAAATCCCGATTTTGTTATCTACTCCTCTGTGGTGTCGTTTTACTTGCCGTTCATAGTGACCCTTCTGGTCTACGTGCGCATCTACATCTTTCTCAGAAGGAGACGGAAGAGAATCACCTTCCGTCAAGGCAGTGGCAAAGTTCAGCCATCATCTCTACCACCATCTGCGGTAAGAGTAGATATTCTCACATTTCACCTCCACATATGATCTCCTCAAACTGTTTTGGATTCTCTGCTCTACTTACAACACACGTAATCCACCAATAACTGTGCATTATGACTAGAAGTATCAGTTACCGGTGGTAAGTATAGATTAGAAACACATCTAAGCTCCAACTTGAATCATTAGCAGGCAATCTCGGATCGAAACTCGGTATTACATTTCACTTAAATTCAAAGAAGCCTGGAATCCAGTCTGTCTTTGTTAGGAAACATTACTTGGTTGTTTTATTCAGTGAAACAACTCTCCCTATCAGTGGATAGAGCCTTTGTATCATTGACTTCCTGTGAAAGTGAGATGCACAGTCAGGTCTTTGGAAAAGTTCCAGAAAAGCCATTCAGCTACGCGCCCTAGGAATTTTATTGCAAGATTTAGTTCCAGCTAACTGGAGCAAAATTTGATATGGAGAAAAGGCTTTGTAGGCTGCCCTGAATATTTTTCTTCCTGTTAAAAAGGCTCCTTTTCCCATTCTATCTAATTTGAATAAAGAAAATGAAGTCCAAGCACAGACTTACATATATGAGCTGTAAATTGATTTACAGAACTGGGTTTTGTACTGTTCATATTTTAAATGAAACAATCAGCTTTGGGGGTTTTATTAAAGAAATGGTTTACTCAAAAATGAAAACCGTCATCATTTACTCGCCTTCATGTCATTCCAAACTTGTGTGACTTTCTTTTTTCTGTGTGACACAAAAGATATATTTTTTAAAATGTCTTTTTTTTGTGTGTGATTTCAAAGAAAATCAATGGGGTCTGATATTGTTATTAAAAAATCGTCCCTGGACTTATTAGAAAAAATAGGGGTGGGCGATATACGGGTAGACATGATTAACCGGTAGAGATTTAGGACTATCGTCTCTATCGCGGTTACATGCTTCTGTGACGCTGCTGTGCTATGTGGTCACGAAAATTAATGCACACGTTTGCACGTTTTAAGCCATTATAACCCAAGAACTCATTTCGCTATATGCGTGCGCTGTCTGAGAGACTGTTTCTGAGCGCTGTCAGAGAGGCGTGCGCATGTGAAGACAGTGCTCATAGAGCGTGGGAATGTTAAACTGAGGGGTTTGTTGTTTTTGCCGCTTTATAGGAACTTGAACGGTTAAATACACACACTTCTTTGTGTCCAAAATACCCGTCTTTGCTAGTATCCTCGTAAACACAGTAGGTCATAAGTGGAAGCAAACAGCTGAGAAAGAAAACACATGTGCAACAGTATATTGGATCCGGGAAGCTCTTAAAGTGACAGCAGTCTAATATTCCTGCTGTCTGTCATTCATGTTAATCAAACAACAACAAAAGAGAAAATCTCTCACTGCTCTTTACTAAATGACTTTTGAAACTTTAATAATAAGAAATATATATATTTAATTTACACAGTGAAGTGTATATTTTTATAATAGTTTTTATAAATTTGATTACTTTATATAATGTATGTAGCATTTCTTATTTATTTGTTCTACTGTAGTTTTTTGGTTTTAGTTTTTTGTGATATTTTCAAAGGTATGAAAAATTTTGAACTAAAATATTAGACAAAAAATTTTAACTTACAAATTTTGCCTTGGCAAATAACTAAAATAAGTGTAAGTAAAATTGCTGAAACAAACTGAAATAAAAAAAGATGAATAAAAATGACAAAAAATAAAAAATTAATAGACAAATTAATAAAAACTACAAAAAGCACTTAAAAAGTAACTAAAACTACAGTTTTAAAATAAATAAAATAATAAAATAATAATGTTGGGGGTTTGATGAGTTTCAGTAACTGTCTTAGATGTGGATGGAGAACAACTGGAGCCTTAGAGTCATAATAGATGATGAAGACACAGATTTGCCTGATTAATGTTAATTCTGTTCAATTAAGGTTATTAAGGTTCTTAATGATAATTCTATTTAAGTGAGATAGATGATCCATTCCAGTCATATATTGGGCTTCAGTAAAACGACACAGTCCACTATTGGCATCCATTGAAAATCTGATTTTTTTTTTCAATAGCGGCCTACTTCAATTTCCCTGCCTTGATCCTGGCATCTTTTCCTGTCTTTTTCTCTTCTCCCCAAATTTATTTTACATGCTTTTGCATTGCCTTTGTTTTCCACATGCTGACTCTTTAACATTTCTCCACAGGAGACGTGTTTACAAGACGACACTCACAAAGAGAAAAGAGACCTTTCCCCCATCAGGATCAATGTGATAAATGTGCGTATACCATTGTGTGTCTGCATGTGTGTACAGAAATGTGTGACTACTCTAATCTTGTATGAAATGAGGCTTCTCGGAGCAACAGAGCCTGTGAAGAAATCTTACAAGGTATTTTGAGATTGCTGGCAGCAATCTCCCTCCTGTTTTAGCATAGCAAGTGTGTTTCTGTTGCCGTGCCTCCACAGACTTATCCCCGCGGCTGTAAGCTGTGAACTGAAAATTTGTGGCTCTGATGTATAGCCCCCAACTTGCTCTGGCTGGTGATTTACTCCCTTCACTGGCACACTCTGTTTGTCGAAAATGTTTCCACAGGAGGCACATCAAAGTTAGGACTCACAAGCTTTGGTAGGGAGCCACAGGAAATGTGCAGCTGTTAGTTGAGGCCTAGGAATCAGAGCTGTGATATAAAGAAGGGAGATATTGATTAATTGACAAAAAGAGGAGATGCAATGTGATTGATAAGATCATTGATAAGCATTAAAGAGATATTTGCATTTGTGCAACGGGAGAGTTTAAAAGTTTAAGGTTGATAAGTTTTTTTTTTAAAATCTCTTATGCTCACCAATGCTGATTATTTACAAAAAATACAGTAAAAACAGTAATATTGTTAAACAATATTAAAATTTAAAATAATTATTTTAATATATTTTAAAATGTAATTTACTCCTGTGATGGCAAAGCTGAATTTTCAGCAGCTATTTCTCCAGTCTTCAGTATCACATGATCCTTCAGAAATCATTCTAATATGCTGATATGGTGCTCAATAAACATTTCTTATCATTATCAATCTTAAAAACAGTTGTACTGCTAAACACTTTAGTGGATACATATTTGGTGCAACGGGAGAGTTTAAAAGTTTAAGGTTGATAAGTTATTTTTTTTAAATCTCTTATGCTCACCAATGCTGATTATTTACAAAAAATACAGTAAAAACAGTAATATTGTTAAACAATATTAAAATTTAAAATAATTATTTTAATATATTTTAAAATGTAATTTACTCCTGTGATGGCAAAGCTGAATTTTCAGCAGCTATTTCTCCAGTCTTCAGTATCACATGATCCTTCAGAAATCATTCTAATATGCTGATATGGTGCTCAATAAACATTTCTTATCATTATCAATCTTAAAAACAGTTGTACTGCTAAACACTTTAGTGGATACATATTTGAATTTATTTGAAATAGAAATCTTTTGAAACGTCATAAATGTTTAAACTTGTGAATGATAGAGTACAGTATATATAGAAAAAATATATAAAAGTTTATTATATTTAAAATGTATAATAATAACCATATAATAGAATAAAATTTTTTTGTTCTTTTTAAATTTATAATAATTAAATATTACTTTAGAAATAACATTTCATAAGCTATTCAGAAAAAAACGTCTAAAAGTGACAACATTTTGTTACATATATGCTTAAAACAAGACAAAAACATTTTACCATTAGGGTGAGAAAAATCCTTTAAATCAAATTTAAGATATATTAAAAAAAATTAATTAATTAATTTAAAAAAAGCTTTAATATCCAACGTCAATTTTTCTTGTTTTAAAGAGGTTTTAATATTTTTAATATTTTTAAAGACTTTTTTTGCTGTTTATTTTGTTGATTTGAGAAAGATAATCCACTATCTACTCGGACTACTCGGACTA